TCTACCTTCCTCAAGGAGAGGGAGAGGCAGGAGGCAAGGTGTACCTGGGAGCATGAGTCACCCTTCGATGGGTCTCGTTTGGCTCTGGGTGGGCCCCGCAGCTTCCAAACTGCGATGGCTACCACCGTTCCATCAGTTGTTCGGTCAGGGATGCGAGGGGGCAAGTACTCTCTCTCAAAGGCAGCAGCTCCTCAGTTTTCTGGTGTCACTCTGCCGCTGCTCTTGGAATTCAGGCCCTGCAGGAGGGGCAAGCAGTGGCGAAAGAAGGCTTATGTGGTGGAAGACACTGGGCTTACTCCACCGCAGTCCTTTGCTTTGTTTTTTGGGACTTCCACGTTCGGAGCTACACAACCTTCCCGCTTCTTCGTTCGTCCCAGCCCGGCCCACCGAAAGACTTTCGGTCCGGTCTGCAGGAGGATTCGCAGTCTGGCTTACCTCCTTGCTCCTAGAGTGAGTGACGCTCACGCAGCCGTCGCTCCGCTGCCTCTGGACAATCAGCAGTGGTGAGCAACAGACTGTTTTTCTCATGCTCCTCCTGAACTCATGAATCTAACGAACAATAAATCCACCCCTAAGACCCTGAAGGCTACCTGCCATGCAAGTGAATCTAAATCTGCTAACTTAGAGGTAGTTGAGTCTGTGTTTGTTAACTCTGTGAACTCCTGCTCTGAGGATTTAAGAACCGGTTTTCATTCGGCACAATCTGAACCCAGTGTTAAAATGACTAAGACTACTATACTTGAATCTGGGGGGAGAAATTTTCGGACTGCTGTGAAATTTCCGGAGGCTGCAAGTTCTGTTTTCAAGTCAGCTGAAAGGGAGGTGGTTAATGTTTCTAAGTCAGCTTTTCAGCCATGTACTTTTCATCAAGGGCACAGGCAGTTGGTAGGGATGGAGATTGCAGGCTGTAACTTGGGCTCTCTGAAGGAAGAGGCTGTCTGCTCCCCAAGGACATTTAAGGACTCTAGTTGCCCCTTTCTACAATCTATTAAGACTGGCTCCTCCTAGGGACTGTTCTGTATCCCTGCTGGATGTGTCTGAGGTTGCCCACTCTGCAAAGACTATATGCCCAGACCCAGTTGGCAATATTGTGCATTTTGAGGTCGTTCCTGAGCTTCTCTCTCCTCCTGTTCCTGCTCCCAGGGTAGCTCGGGCCCAGTGTTCCCCTCCACCCATTTCAGTTCCTCGGGTGGGAGGGGCTGGTGTTCAGCTGGTGCCAGCACCTGTTCCTGTGTCCGCTGGAGGCTCAGGTGAGCCCGTCCAGCAGTTTTTCTCATGTTCAGAAGGCTCAGGAGGATTAGCTCAGTCACCTTCACAACCACCGTCACTACAACCTCTATTGCAGTCCCTAGCTCAGTCTCCACCTCCACCACATTCAGCCCCGCTACCCATAGCTCAGTCATTACCAAAACCAGACTTACTACAAACTTTGTTACAGTCCACAGCCCAGTCAGTAGCTCAGCTGGTAGAGGAATCATTAACTTTGTCATCAGTTCAGGCCCCAGTGCTTTCACCCATTCAGCCAGCCACTCATCTTCACCCTCAGCCAGGGGTCCCAAATGGCTCTGGCCCTGCATCTGCTCCAGCTGGAGAGCCCGAGGCGCCCGTCCAGCCTCGTGCCTCGTCAGCTGGAGGGCCCGAGGAGCCCGTCCAGCACCGCGCCTCGTCTGCTGGGGGTCCTGGAGGACCCAGCCAGCACATCCTCATGTCTGCTGACGGTCCGGGGAAGTATGTTCAGCTGTCACCTGCTGTATCATCCCCTGCGACTTCTACACTGTCACCTGCAGCATCATCATCATCAGCTACTTCCACATAGTCGCCTGCAGCATCACCGCCTGCAGCATCCACATTGTTGCCTGCAGCATCGCCGTCAGGTTCCGCAGCCGCCACGCTGCCGTCAGGTTCTGCCTCTGTGGCTTCATCCACGCCTGGTCCAGCCTCATCTGGTCCTGCGGTTGCCACACCGTCATCGGATCCAGCTTGGCCTGTTCCACCACGCGTCTGCCGGCCGCTTTCCAGGCCTCTAGTTGTGCGTTATGGCCGTGGAGGCCGGCCCCCGGAGAGAGTTCATCGCCGTCGCTGGCTTTGCGGCCGGCCTCCTGAGACAGTTCGTTGCCACCGCGGCTTCGCAGTCAGCATCCGGACCTGCTTTGTCGCCGCCACTGCATTCCACGTGACCGGCCCCTGGATTTGCTTCATCTGTGTCGCCGCCGCTGTCTGCACGGTCGGTCCCCTGAACTGTTTTGGCCCTTGTGCTGTCGACCTCCGGGTCGACCCCCTGAACTTTTCATGGACTGCGGTTGAGCTCTAGTTTGGTTTTGATCTGTTTTCCTGTGTTCTTGGACTCTTGTGCTCCTTGTTTTTTGTTTTGGACCCTCCTTCCTGGACCCCCTCGCCCGCCCTGGTCTGGTGCTCTGTTTTTTTTTTTGTTTGGTTTTTTTTGTTTAGGGCTGTCGGGAACCAGCCCTTGGAGGGGGGGTACTGTCACAGTTCTGGGTCAGGTTCAACCCAGCATTTTGAGTTCTTTTGGTTTATTTTTTGAATGATTGTTTTGTTTCAATGATTATTATTAGAGTTACATGTTTCTGTTTATCAGTGTTTAAGGATTTGTTGTTTCATGTATTGTTTGAGTTGCATGTGTTATATTCTCTCTGCGTCTTTGTTTAGTGGTTTCCTGTTTTATTGTGAAGGTCTGTCTCATGTGAGTGTGTTCAGTTCTACTGCTCCCCTGTCTCGTATAGTCCAATTTCTCCCAGCTGTGTCTCCCTCCTGTTGCCCATTCCCTGATTACCACCCTGTGTATATTAGCCCTGTGTTTTCCTGTGCGCAGTGTCGCGTCGTACCATCAGATTATGCCTGTGTGTTTCTGTTCTCAGTATTCAGTGGTCACTTCATGTGTTGTCTTCATGCCAGCAACAAAGCTGAGGTTTTGAGTTGTATTCAGTGTCCGAGTCTCGCATTTGGATCCTCCTCTCCATCCGCCTGCACACAGAGCCCTGACAGTTACAACCTTTATGTGTTTGACATTTTGACCTGAACAACCTGATACCATCAAATCTAACTGCCTGGCCCCGCGATATCACATCCAGGCAGTTAAATCAGTTTAAATGTGAAAATGCTGCACAGAATAGCGATGCACTCCCTTAAGTTGCATCAAAATGAGACATTGTGCATCTGAGAGATGAGGTAATTGTTGATGGGCTGATTTCATTGTGCTTGGCAGTGGTTCCCAACCTGGATGTGAAGGCGCTCACAGTAGGTCACAAGATCCACTGAGTGGAGGAAAGAAGAGAGGAGCAGAAAGTTGTTTGTTGTTGTTTTTTTGTGGGGTTTTTGGCTTGTAATTTGTTTCTTCAATTACTTAAACAGTTCAAAACAGGGGGAACAAACACTACTCTCTATTTGAAGCTGCGCTGAAACTTTGTCTCCACAGGGGAATGTGGAGTATCTGCTGAAGTGGAAAGGATGGCCTCCAAAGTGAGTATGTAGATTAGAAGAATAAGATGGATAACATGAAATGGAACTGAATGTGACTCACAGAGTGGTCTGCAAAAGTTAAATATTGTACTTAACAGGACCCAGTTTTGCTTGTAACTTCTTGAAAGTGGATTTGAACAGTAGTCCTTTGGCTTTCTGAAGGTAAAACACAACTAGCATCCAAAGAAGAGCTTTGGAGTATCCTTCAAGAAGCCCGGAGAGCTATTCCTAAAGTTTAAAACATTACAAGAAAGCTTGCCCAAAACACTTCAAACTATATGAAGAATAAAGTTGGTCATATTATATATGGACCTTATGGCTTGTTAAAAGTGTGCAAACTTTGTAGTCAAAATCTGACTGAATTTCTGTGCATTGTTGCACATGTTACAATAATTTCCATCACCTGTTTCTCATATTCCTAGCAAAATATGAAGAAATGCCAGTTGGGCCAAGACTTACTCTCCACATAAACACACTGTTCAACATTGCAATCAATCATATTTATCTTTTTAAAAGTGTATATAAACAATGCATCAGATGTTGTGAAATTAGAAATGTAGTAATTTGTTGAAAAACATGCCCATTTTCAATTGGATGCAAGCTGCATCTTTCAGAAAAGTTGAAACAGGGACAACAAAAACAGGATGATCTCATGACAAATCAGGTAATGTACAGTAGCAGTATGATTGGATAATGGGACATCCTATAGGTGAGGTCTGTGCTTTGGCAGTTTGACACTGTAAGAATGTTTGTCAGAGCAAAATTGCAGAGAATTAGAGGATTTCATCACGTGTGGTGTGGCGTGGTGATTAGCACTGTAGCCTCACAGCAAGAAGGTCCTGAGTTCCATTCCGCCAGGCTACCATCTGGCTCGGGCCTTCCTGTGTGGAGTTTGCATGTTCTCCCTGGGTACTCTGCCTTCCTAAGAACACAGTTAGTGGGGTTAGGTTAATTAATGATTCTAAAGTGCCCATAGGTGGGAGTGATTGTCTCTCTCTATGTGTTAACCCTGTGACGGACTGGCGACCTGTCCAGGGTGTACCCTCCCTCTTGCTCTATGGTACCTGGGATAGGCTCCACCCCCTACGACCCTGACAAGGATAAGCAGAAAAGAATGGATGGATGGTATTCAGAGAGAAGCTATGCAGGGGAGAACCTGTATTGAATGACCATAGTTATCAGGCTCTTAGATAGCTCTGGATTAAAGATTGACACAGTTTTATTGTGAAAATCTTCAAACTGTCACTTTCTCTGACATAAACTCACTTTGGATGGACTGAGGCAAAGGGAAAATTTGTTTTACGGTCTGATAAGGCAGAATTTAAAATTCTTTCTTGAAATTATGGATGCTGTGTCCTCCAGGCTAAGGGGTAGAGGCACTGTTCGGTTTGTTATGAGCACAACAAGATGTACAGTGGCACAGTTAATCTGCACTTCTGCTAAGGCACCATTAATGCTGAACCATACTATAGATTTTGGAGCAATCTATGTATACTACCATCCAGACCACTACTTCTTCAGGGACGGGCTGTTTTATTGTAGAAGAGAGTAACAAACTGTTTTGACATGTATTACAGCAGAATCAGTTTCTAATAAAGAGCCATCATTATTAAAGAGCCATAGAGACATATTAAAAAGCAAGAGGAAGGAGTTGTATATCAAGCAACAGTGGGTAAATACTTTCCTTTCTTGACTACAGCAGCTGCTTTTCTCAGTCCCTAAACAGTTAGTGTTGTTAAAAGAACACAGTGGTGCTCATCCTTATGATCCAGCTTTTATTGAAATATGTTACTGACACCATGCATGAATTTAAAATGAGAATTCGTTTTTATAATAATAAATCTCGATCAATTAAACATTCAATATGTCGTCCTTGTTTTATTTCAACTTAAATACAGGTTTTAAATGGGATTTTTTTTGTGTATTGACTTTGTGGGAATGGGGTTGTGTATACTCTGACCCACGACAGCATTAAAACCACCTGCCTGATACTCTGTAGGTCCCCTTGGTGCTGCCACCCATTGGGGCATGGACACAGGATCTCTGGGAGTGTCCTTCTTTGGGCCCTGTTTGGGTTGTAGGGTAGGTCCTCTTGTTCGATTGTATTGAGATCTTGGGAGCATGGAGGTCGGGTCAACGCTTTGGGATCTTTGTCGTGTTCCTCGAGTCATTCCTGAGCAATTTTTGCAGTGTGCACGGGCACATTATTCTCCCGGGGTAAGCCGCTATCGTCAGGGAGTGTAGTTACCATGGAGCAATATTTACGTGGGTGGTACGTGTCAGGTGACATCCACATGAATGTTAAAATCTACGGGTTCCCAGAAGAACTTTTTATTGTATGCAGACGATCAGTGTTTTTCACTTAAGCTGTCAGTGGTTTTAATGTTGTAAATATCAACATACTAAAAAATATAGAAATGCAGTTTTGAAAAGTTACACCAGGGCAAGAATTTATTTTAACTAGAGTTCTAAAGTTTGTTTTTCTGATTTAGAAATACAATAAAGACACTGTGTCAGCACTTTGGCCTTGTTTTTAAATGAATCAACAGACTGATTTTAATTACCTAAATGATTATAATAATAAATTATTTATGGAGGTCATTGAAAAACGAAGAAAGCTTTTATATATGTTTTGCATCCTCCTACAGGTACAGCACTTGGGAACCTGAGGAACACATTCTGGACCGGCGCTTGGTTCAGGCCTACGAAGAGAAGTAAGGCTGCCTTCAGCCACCATTTGTCATTTATTTTTTCACCTTTGTACTTTGCTCCTTTATTTAACACAAACTGACATGCAGAGTCTAATTTTTGTTTATAAATGTGTGCATATATATACGTATATAGATACAAATTATATTTTTAGGGTTTCCCCTTGGAGGGAGTGTGTTATCAGTCTGATATCTGTCTGCACTTGAATGGGGTCAAGTTGGCAGTTGCATACACTCTGAATCTGATAATCCAGCAGTTTTACTATATTGCCAAAAGTATTTGTTCATCTGCCTTCACGCACATATAAACTTGACTCACATCCCATTCTTAATCTATAGGGTTTAATATGATGTTTGCCCACCCTCTGTAGCTTCAACAGCTTCAGATCTTCTGGGATGGCTTTCCACAAGTTTTATGAGCGTGTTTATAGGAATGTTTGATAATTCTTCCAGAAGGGCATTTGTGAGATCAGACAATGATGCTGGATGAGAAGGCCTGGACGTTGTCGCTTGGCACAATGCACAAAGTACTGATCTCCAGGCAGTCACCAAACCCAGACTTGTCCATTGGTTTACTAGACAGAGAAGAGGGATTTAGAGATGCAAAGGGTCTGGGCTGCTCTAGAGTCCAGTGGCAGCGTGCTTTACACATCCTTATTCAACGCTTTGCATTGGGCTTGGTGATGTAAGGCTTGGATGTATCTGCTTGACCCTGGAAAACCATTCCATGAAGCTCTCTACACACTGTTCTTGAGCTAATCTAAAGGCCACATGAAGTTTAGAGGTCTGTAGCGACTGACTCTGCAGAAAGTAGGTGATCTCTGCGCAGTATGTGCCTCAGCATCTGCTGACCGCACTGCTGATTTTTCTTGGCTGAGTTGTCATCGTTTCCTCCAGTCGCTTCCACTTTGTTATAATAACACTAACAGTTGACTGTGGAACATTTAATAGCAAGAAAATTCCACGACTGGACTCGTTGCACAAGTTTCATCCTATAACAGTACGATCCTGGAATTCACTGAGAGCGACCCATTCTTTCAATGTTTGTAAAAGCAGTCTGCATGCCGAGGGGCTTGATTTTATACACATGTAGAATTCAGTTATTTGGATTTACAAATCATTATAAATCATCAAAAAGCACATATAAAAACATAGACAGAAATTTGCATTTAACTATGACATTTGAAATAAGACATAAGATTTCTTCTTATTTGTTTGTATAACCTCTAAATTGGTACTTGGTTCTATAATCATATACATGTTGGTGATTTCTGAAAGGAGAATTGCTAAACAACATACACACACACACACACACACACTCAGACACACATATATAATTTTTTATATAATTTTTGGACGAATATTGAAGTAAAGCATGTAGGTAGTCTCCTTGGGCAACACTGGAAGACTATTTTTAGAAGCCTCTTTGAAAGCCCCTCTCTGACCATTTACATTTGTACGTCTGCAGTGATTCCAAAATGTCACAATCGCAACCTTTCAGCTTGAATTAATTAAGGAGGGGCCAAAGTTGTTCGGTGGTGAGCAACAGTTGTGTTGTTAATGCACAGTGTCCCTATGTATGATGGCACACATGGCGTAGTTTGAGTGGTTGTTGTCTAATGTAGTACCTCAAAGCTTCCCAACATTACAGTACAGCTCTTTTCAGACTTTCTGACCCCGAGTCATAGCGCACAATTTGGCTTGGATGCTTTTCCTGCCTGACAAAGGTCTGCTTGGTTTTTCCAGAGAACAGAGAGAACGAGCTCTGGGTCCCAGAAGGAAAGGAGCCAAATCCAAAAGAATCCTTCTGCAGGTAAAGTTTGGAATTTGATTAAAAATTATATATATATAAAATTCAAACTGTGTTTCTCTCATTGGGGCCTGACAATGACGTTACTCTTTTTTTCTTTTTCTGTTTGATCTTGATTCAGAATACTGTCTACACCATGGATCTCCGCAGCGCTCACAAGATTCCCGAAAAGCCTGCACCGCGCCTGCGTCTGTCTCTGACACGCTCTCTGCTCCCCGAGGATGACCATCAGCCATACAGACAGGAATCACAACACAGACTGAGGACGAAGGAGTTCAAATGCTTTAACTCAAACCCTCCAAGTCCAAGACAAGAGAACTGGGAAGAGCATGGAGAGGAAGACGAGGAGGAGGAGGATGAGGAAGAGGAAGAGAACAGCATGGAAGATGATGAGGACAGGGAGGAGGAGCAAGAGGAGACTCAGAAGAACACAGCAAAGGAGAGCAATGGCATTTTAAATGGTATGTGTGTCACTTGGTCAGCCAGTGGACTCTAATCAGCTGCGTTTGCCTCTGGGATGCTCTCATGAAATGACAGGAGGTCAGGGGCCAGTTAATAAACAAGCAACTGTATTTAATAGATAAAAAGAATGACTTGTCTATCTTTGTTATTGCTTTTTTTAATTAACTGACTACATTAACTTGATACGAGCATTGACACCGGGTTGTTTTTGTCCCAGTCGACCCTCACTGACTAGTCCTTTTCTAAGGTTTTAAGTAGCTTGTTCTGCTGTTTGGAGTGCAAAGACCCGAGTCAGGGGGAGAGGGGCTTAAGCCCATCAATCAAGTGACTAACACAGAGAGAAGAGCAACCACACACTCACGTTTACAGGTGGCTGAGAATCACCTACTATACATGTCTGTTGTTGCAGTTCCTGTTGTTTCTACCTTGCTGTCCTTCTGATCAACGATAAGTCCCATCCATGTGCAGTTGTTTTTCAATATGAGATACCATCCGTCCATTTTCTTCTGCTGATCCATATCAAGGTCACCTCTCCCACCCATCATAGGCTGGAAGATGGGCTACACCACCTTTCAGCACTTCTAGTGTAACTCTAGTCTTTGTTCTTCATCCTCCATCTCTCTGTTCTGTAAATGTATTGTAGTGACAGAGCATCTCCCAGCTGTCAGCAGACTATCATGCTGTTCTCTTAATGCTAGTGTTATCCAGAAGGGTGTCCAGGCCACAGTGTAAGTCTGTGAATGCACAATTGTTTGTGTTACAAATTTTCACACATCTACTCAGGCTATCTCCTGGGCTCCTCCCCACCCAGCTGCAATAACACATACACAGGGTAGACCCAGCACTCGCTGGAGAGAGTATGTATCTTTAAACCCCCACAGAGAAGTGGAAAACAATAGGGGGAAAAGACATCTGGAATACCCTGTTTATCCTGCTGCAACCCTGATCCAAGCTTGAATAAGTGGAAGAAACTGGATGGATAAATTGTTTATGTTTGATAAATATTGTTTTGCCCCAATAAAGAGAGATGGTTTGGGATGATTGATTTGTCATTTACTCACTATGAGTCATTAGTTATTATAGTAATTAGTGATCATTAGTTATTATTAATCTCTCTTGTGTCTTTTGTTGTCTCTCCAAAAACTGTCTTCTTTCTACCCTCACCTTTTCCCCTTTCTGTGAAAAGGGAGTTTTTCTTTCCCACTTTCGCCAAGTGCTTGGTCAAAGGAGATTGTGTGATTGATGGGGTGTTCTGTATTATTGTAAGGTCTGTACCTGACAATATAAAGCACCTTGAGGTGACTCTTGTTGTGATTTGGTGCTATTTGAATTGAATTTAACGGGGATTGCCTCCTCTCCTAGTTCAGTAACAGGGAGCGGTCTTGTTGATATTCACTGTTCTGCATGATCGTGCAGTAATCCCAACCGTAGTGTGCTCTTCTGTTTTCTGGGAAACATAAGCAGCCACGTGCACTCTGTTTTGATGCATGTTATAACATGCATCAAAACAGATCAGTCAAGGCAAGCTAACTCAGAACTCGAGTGGCAGCCTTGATGCAGTAGTTGTCTTAGTGTAAATGTACACTTTTCACCTTCTGCCTTTCTCCCTCTGTGTCCCTGCCTCAACCAGGACATGAGAGGACAGACGGCTGGAGCTCCACGGGACCAGACGAGGGCACCACATCAGAAAATATCTGGAGACCTGTCATATGTCCGGGAGAAATAACTGTCACAGACATCACCCTGAAATCCCTCACAGTGACTTTCCGAGAGTCAAGAGTGGCCAAAGGCTTCTTCAGAGACTGGGGCCTGAAAGTCTGAATTCTGGAAATGGGGTTGGCCGGTTAGCAGTGGAGGCATGGCGAGAGGGAGCTGGAGGCACCGACACAGTAGGTAAAAGGTGCCACAGTAGGTGTTTTCACTCTCTCTCTGCTTGTCTCATTGCCAGCCTCTCCCAACTTTCTGAGTGGTACATTTACATGCACAGAGTCACCTGAATATAAGCTGATCTCCAGGTAAAGTGTTATTTTCATTGTTCTTGACACTTTTCCTACTATCAGACTGAGTTGCCTTGAATAAGAAGAGCATTACATCAATGTTTATATTAAGAACAGGATTTAAAACTTGAGTAAATCCTGAAAGGAAGTTATTTTGTGGTTCCAGTAGAATGAGAGGCTTATAAAGTGATGGCCACAGTAAGGACCTTCTGACCAAAACTTAAAAAATGGCCACCATACAACTTGCATAGCATTCTCATGCATTAAATAAGTGGATCAGCCACAGAAGAAGTCCACATGGTACGTCATGTGGACAACTGCAAAAATCTTGCTCTGCTCCATTTTTCTAAGTGAATTTTCATTTTTTATGACAACCAAGACAACAGAAAAACATGGAAAGCTACATCTCCAGAGAGAGAGATGAAGTTATCCAAACACAGGTCCAACACAAACGTGATGAAAAGACAGTACTGAATATCTGTGAAGGCATTGAATACTGGCAAAATCATTTTGGTATCTGTTCTTTCCTTTGCCACTGGAGCAAAGACTGGGCCACATTAAGTATTTCAGCTAATCATGACCAAGGTACAGTCAGAAACACTGACAGATCAAATGTGAAGAATGTCCAGACATCTGGAATCAAACAGCTGGAAATGTGTGGAGGTAAAATGGCTCAGAGTTTACTTGTATTGTTGGCATTGCTTAATGCATAGATGTCCAAAGTAAAGTTCTCCTCTAGAGATGTCTTTCAAAGAAACACAACTACAGTCGCACAGTAGTGGAAAGGGGTTTTCTTTGTTACCCTAAGGTATAGTAAAGATGCAAAACACATTTCTGCCACGACAAACCATTTGAAAAGTCACCTGCTTCATAGTTAGTTTACCAGGTTTGGTTGTTAAGTGCGCGCTGCATAAAGTAAGCAGAGCGGCCAGATCGCACCAATCCATCCAAGCTGTCAGTGGTGGGTCATTTAAACTGAGATTGGTTATGGCTACCTGAAACCAAAAACTTAGCTGCTTTGAGAATGAAGTATTTCTTCTCCTTGATGTCCCAAATGTCCAAATTATTGACCCATGTGGATTCAAAATCCCTGTAACTGTTTGAAATTGCATAAATGTTGATCCCGGAGGCATTTAGACAATGATGGAAAACAAGTAAAGTAGCGCTCCCGCAGGCAATTCCATGGTTTTAGTGATGGAAACACAGAGCTCCGTACTTTACGTGGATCCCAAGTTATGACTAAACACTGTGAATCGAGAGGATCTTACCTTTCATGCAGAGTCTTTATTTTTGAACTCCAGCGATGAAGTATATGTAGTAGTTTCACAGTTTAAAGTAGCACAAAACTGGAAAGTCAAACAGCCAATTCCTTTGATATTGCACTTTTCATTAGCGCCTGAGCAAATTTCTTGGCTAAATGTTTGACCTTACATTAGATCGTCTTTTTCCTCTAAGCCCATTTGCCCCATGACGAGCAAAATCCACTGACAACTCCCCACCAGCGTGATCTGAGTTTGCCATTTATGTTTGTGTAATAGTTATGGGCTTTTGTTTTTGTTTTTTGCTTTAGACGTGTTAGCTTTAGAGGTGGTTCAAATTTGTCTGGCCTCTACCCTTTGACCTGTTCAACCTGGGTATCCCTACCAGGAGCCTCTGCTCCCACTGGCACAGCTCTCCTGGTCATTGAAGCACACAGGCTACATTAGTAAACATGTGAGGAAGAGAAGGGAGGAGTTCTCTGTGCATGTAAACGGAGCCACACTAAGCCAGCCTGACTGGACTCAAACATTTTGTACATACTCAGTGAGGTGGGCTTAGGTATCAGACCCATACTAACACACAGTGCTGTACCTGTAACCTGTAAACTCATAGACTGTTACTGCTGTACAACACGTGGCTTTAGTCTTGTATGCGTTTCAAAATCCTCCGAGAGAAGATTTGATCCGCCTGCATGCCTTTCTCCTCCAGTACAGTTACTATAGCGATATAAAGACGGTGTAGTCTTCTCTGTTCAACTAGCTCTTCATCTCCGCACATATAGCCCACCATACAAGTGACAAATTTGTACCAAAAGGAGAAACTAAATGAGAGAATGTATTAAGGAATTGCACTGTATTAGCATCACAGAGGTTTGTGTGTCCACCGGGAGGCTCTCTTTGCAAAGACTGATGGGTAGAATTTCAAAGGCAAAGTTTTTAAGCTGCTACCAGCTGATGTTTCGCACCAATATTCAGTCCCTTTTAATCATATCATTTGCACTGTCCTTATCCATTAATGTGATTCTTTTAAAACTGGAAATGCCTCATTAAGTCAATTACCAAAAGGCTAAAAAGCCGAGCTAATGCATTTAGTTTTGTCAACCGTGTAGCGTTCCAGCACAACTTTCAGAAAATGTGCTTTTCGGCTAATAAAACAGATAATATTAGTAACCCATCATCTAACAGCCGGCTAAGGCTCTTAGCCAGTGATAATGTCATTTAATAATGCAGGAAAACCTTTCAGTTTTAAACAAATGGTCTCTGAAAACAAAGAGGGACTAACGTGGACATTGTAAAACTGGACGAGAGTCTATACTTTAAAATTTGAAACGGTGTAACTACATGTAGAGTCTCTTATGTTGGAAGCTGTAGCAGGCTTTATAAAACACTTTTCCAAACTGTATAAATCCCCAGTCACACCAGCCTAAAGACCAATAGGAACCCAAAGTAATGTGCGTAGAAGAATGCACATTTTTCCAGAGGGACCGGTGGTGTCTGAGGGGCCGCCAACTGATCTCTAGCAACCTATAATTGGTTATCTCATAACATAAGTATCTGTAACATGATATATTCACAGTAATTATGAGTAAAAGGTCATTTTGGACCAGGCTAACCTATAGCTAGGGTGACCAGATCCCAAGAAACTGAATGTGAGGGACACGTCAGCGATGCTGAGAGGTAGTCTGAAACGTTCATATCCAACCACAAAATAAAAATACAATAAATTGCTCATGTTCCAACTCTCCCAGTAAGTAAATACACTACTGAAAAAGAAAGCTCTAGTTTGTTCTTATGCTATGATGTGATGGGCTTTATATACTCCTGTATTCTTCTTTTTTATGTCTCTCTTATTCCAGTAGTTCTGTTTGCATCATTGCATAGATTGGACAAGGAATCAAAGTGCTGCACGGTCCCACATAAGGACGGGCTTCTGGTCACCCGAGTAGCTTTGGCTTATTATTTTACATTAGTTTCATCACCGGGTTTTGCTTAGAGTTCCTTCTTTCGTCTGCATTTCCATGAACATTTCTTCTAACGTTGACTGAAAAAGTCGAGTTTTTGCAGTTCATACATGACTTTAAACTAAACTTTAAAACACCACCCCGCTTCAGTTCTGCTAAAAAGGTTTCAGAACACCGAGAGATGAAAATCACAGAAATCCAAATCATTTAGATGATATTAAAAACGATTAAAGATATCAACGTTCAAAATGATCAATTCCATGACAGCTGAGCAGCCAGCGGCTCAAATAAATGGAAACCTTGACAAATGATTGCGATGTGTTAATCAAAAGTGGAAGGTTTGAGTTATCAGGGAGCGACACTGAATGATCAGTATTACAAATTCAAAACAAACTAAGAAGTGAAGCCTAACTCTGGACCCAGCAGGTCAGTCTGACTCCACAGGCTTCCACTGGGGACGCAGGAGCCGATGTGATGTGTCACATCTATGGAATCTCCCACAGAGGCATCGCATTGGTCCACATGTTGTTTATATCACACTGAGGATTGATGGGTCAGCCTCTCATGATCTTCAAACTGTCTCTGTGTGACAACGAGCTGCAGGGAATGGAAGTGCCTGATGTTGCCTTTTTTTTCTTTTGTCTGTGGAGCTTTTAGGGCTAATACTTCCCTTTTACACACACACATTAACACACCTTTCCCGTCCCAGTTTTTTGTTTGGTTGTTTTTTTTT